TATTTTCTCCACGATTAATTCTACGGGGTCTCTCAATTTGACCGACCTCAAAACCATCATAAAAAATTAGGAAATAAGTATAACTTATGCTATTTTCGTTTTAGAATGACTACAAATTATAACACAAATGTTTAATCGAAATAGTTTAAATCTCATAACATTATACATTTATATATATTTATTATTTTTATTATATTGACATTCCAGTAGTGCCTGGCTAACATTGCAGCAGTTGCAATGATGCGGCACATGTGCACTCATGTTACCATATCCAAAAATATAAAACTGGCCTTTACAAGGTGACCTGTCTTGGCTGTGTTTTAGTGGACTAGTATTTTGTAAAATACAGTCACATTTCAGTTATAATACATTGTATATGTATATACATTATTATTGTTTACAAATAAGTTCTTAAAGTTATTTTTCTTAAAACATAGAACAGTAAATAAAGAAGTATAGCAAACTATTATCTCTTCTAGTTATGAACTTTGTACTCGTTTACTGCTTGCCATAAGTTGTTAAGCCTTGTCAAATTTCACACGTGGAGGATGTGAAATGATATAATTTTTTTTAGGTTTTATATATACATTTGAAATAACCAAAAATCTTAAATTACTACATCAATATCATAGAATTCCAATATAATTTATGAAACTTAGTAACTAAGGAGAACTTGGGTCTAAAAATATGAAATTTTGAGCTGACTAAAGACTCACCAATTTGAAATTTTGTATAGAAAGAAAGCGTTGATGTCACAGTACTTCAAAATGGCTGAGAAAGCCACTAGGGGACATTCTGAGCTTTCTATTGGTTATTCACATGTCACAGTCAAAAGTACATGTACATAAGGAAGTGTTTCCAAAAATGGAAAGAAGTGGGCAGGGCTTCTGTGTGTGTTTCGATACAAGAGCAATGTCTCAGCAAATAGAAAATATAGCTTGCTAGTATCGGTAATTTGAGTTCCTAATTTATATGAAACTATTTGGACATCATGAACACGTAATTTGAACCCGTGCTGCATTCAACATACCATGTGACACACAAAATTCTATATGTGGGTGTGTTCTTTTAATATTTACTTTTAAATTAAGAAATTAACTGATGTATAATACTAAAATTTGAATTATAATCTACAATTTGATTCTAAACTTATTGATATAAATTCCTAAAATAGTAGTTCAATAAAATTTTGAATGGAAGTCAACAAACTTGATGACATGGTCTTTGAACAATGACCCATGGTGATAGGGTTAATATTTCTTGTATCCTTTACTATTCTATGTATGTTATCTGCTATCCAGATCGGGTCTTCCTTCCCAGGACATCGGCTGCCTGGGAAGGTTGTTGGGCCTTTTCTCCTATTTCCTTACCTTCCTCTCCCCACCTGTTCTCCTGTTTGGATCTGGATCATCTACTTTGTCGAGTTCATTACCTGGTATGTTATATGTATTGTTCTGCCTCCTTTTATGCTTCTCATTCCTGTCTATTTGTTCCATGGAATTCCTCTGCAAGGTGCTTCCTCTGGATGTTTTCTGCCTGGCTGGACCACACTTGACATACTCCATAATATCACAAGGCGTTTCCCCCGGATGTTTTGGCCCAAATGACCGCACTTGTTGATCACACAATCTGTTACATACAAAAGATGAAATCACAAATTCTATGCAAGGTGCTTCTACTGGATGTTTTTTGCCCAGATGGACTGCACTTCACATAATCTGATGTATACCAAGGTGCTTTCCTCGGATGTTTTGCCTGGGCTGACTGCACTTGACTATATTAATATAAATCTAAGGTACTTCCTGTTTTTTGCCCGGGTGGACTGTAATTGTTAATCTTACAATCTTATGCAAGGTGCTCCACTGTTGTTTTTGACTACATGGACTGCACTTGGCATAATCTGACATATCCCAAGGTGCTTCCCCTGGAATTTTGCCTGGGCATACTGCATTTGGCCTATTCATATACATTTATGGTCCTTTAGCCATAGCCACGTATTCTTATATCTGATTACTGGCACCTTCTTCAGATCTAACTGTGATTGTGTCATGTGCTCACGTTTGTTACATATGTGGACATCTTACATACTATCTGTTGTCCACAGGTGGAATCTGTGTTACATGACATGGTGCCTGTTTATTTAGTTCCCCCTATGTTTCTTACTTTGTTCGTTACTGGGTGAAAAGCATACCTGTTTCAGAAGTAGTGCTATACACCACAGGTGTGCTTCCTTTTATAATTTTGGTACACCTTTTCTCCCCTTGTTTGATTACTTTGGGCCTTCACCAGCCCCACCACCTTTATAATTTGGGATTCTAGCTTTCGGTAAGTGGAAGTAGTAGCATTTCGGAAGTTAACATTTTCTAACACTGAAAATGTATTTCTGATACGGACTTACCTCTTCTCACCCATCCTCCCCACTGATTTGCTTGTGTTTCTGGTTTGTATCTGCCAGTTCTTGAAAGTGAGGATTGTGCTGCAATGGTAGAGAGTGCTACCTATGCTAGTATAAGTGGTGCAGTATGATTGGTGGAGGGGTAGTCACATGATTAGCAAATGTTACTGCAATGGCACAAAAATTAATGGGTATAAAAGACTGGTGCACTTTCGAAAATTTTAGCAATGCTTAGAGGGCAAATTAAGGTCAAGATAGCTTTGGGTGAGTAGAGGTAAGTACTTATTGGTAATACATTTTCCATGTTAGAAATTGGAGATCTGCCTAAAAGAGTGTGTGCATTAGGTACTTGACTAGGTTTCATGTGAAGGCTATCCAGTATTTCTATATACTGCAAGATCAGTAACATTATTAATACTAAAGCTACAGTAATAGTTATACTCATAACATCTGTATAATAAAAGACTATGTGGTCTTTCAAGGCTATCCTTGCACACTCAGTCATGATAAAAATAAAATTTTAAACCCACACTCTATTTTTAATTTGTAATTTCCCCCTTTTTCATTCTGATGACATTTTATAAGCTAGTCACCATGTTAGAAAAATAAAACTGTTTTAATTGGAAGCTAACCTATCTTTTCCAAATGTTATGCTTATGCTATTTGTCCTGTTGTCTTTAGAATACAGCATAAAGAAATAGAGCCCTTTATCCTATAAATTTTTTGGATAATATTCTAAGCTTCAATCATATCACTTCTTACCTTTCTCAAGAGAAAATGCATCGAGTAGATCATAACCTATCCCTAAAAGATAATCTTTATATCTCCAGAATTATCCTAGTAGTTCTTTTATGAACTCTTTCCATTATTAAAATCTTTAGAAATGAAGACCAAAACAGGACAAAGTACTCCAAGTGAGGCCTTACTAATGATTTGTATAGAGAGATGATGATGTCTTTTGTGATCAATTTGAAAATCCTTTTCTTCAGTCATGCTATTGAGTGGGTTTTGTTCTATATTAATGTAGGTGTATAGTGTCCAGTTTTCACTATTCTAACTGTGCGACACAAAATAGGTTTACAAAATTCATTAAACAGTAGAGTTTTTATGTTTTTGCAGAGAGACATGTTGTTTTTATATTGTTTCTTCTTCTTCCAAACAATTTACAATCAACTGTCATTCATTCATTTCTCAGCAGATTGACTTGAAACCTGATAGGGTTATACCTTGGTCCAATATGCCCATAATACTTTTTCATTTTATTGATTTAGGTCTTTTTAAAGATTTTATATGGTCAAAGGTCAAACAACTGAAACATGTATATTTTGGGCTCCTGTGCAGCCATATTTACAACAATTAAGATGAAAATTGGTACAAATATAAATTTTCATGCACCAAACACATTGATTGGCAAAAAAGTTGAATTTGTCCATTTTGAAGGTGCAGAGCTCACAAAAAAAACATAATTTTGAGCTTTTTTGACAATTACTCTGCCATATTGTAGCCAATTTACATGAGATTTGGAACAAACATACTTTTTATAGGTCCTAGACAGAGATATAGACCATTTTGGAATTTTTGTCTTTTGCCAAATTTTTCAGCAAGGGAAGAACAATTTGGGGTTTTTGTAAACTATTCATATGTATGTCAACCAACTTGCATGGGATTTGGTATAAAGATATCTTCTTGCAGGTCCCAAGCAGTCATATAGACAGTTTTTGATTTTATGGTGTCAAAATTGGCGATGTTGGGAATATGTGGTTGTGACATGTTGCATTCACCCACGAATGTTGGCCTCTTTAATTTTGTTTAAATGCACAAGTAAGTTGTAGATTTCCAGAGAAAATATTATTACCTTAACTTACAAAATTATGTTGATATTGCAAGTAATGTAATATTAACAAAGTGATTAATAGATATCATCACCCCAAATGCGACTTGATGCATTAATGAAATATTCTTTACAAAAACATCGTAATTTTGTCACTTTATTGTGTATGTGACTTATACTGTGGTGAAGTTTATAATGTATCAAATACCGGAACTTACTAAGGGATGGTTAGTGCTACAGGTTTATTTGTGAGGCAGACACATTTGCATTAGTATTAATGTTGAGTCTTTAAAGCTGACTACTTAGCTCTTGTTGTTAAATATTTAAGTCACCTGCTAATAAAAGTTTATTAATATCCATAGAATAAGAATTCACTAATGAGAAGTGTAACTGCTAATATTATTATATCATGCATTATTACTATGATAAAATAATGCAATTCTAGCATGCAAATGTTGTCTTCTAATGATGCTTAATGTATATATAGACAGGAAAGACTTGTTTTTTCCATACAGTATTTCATGTCATTCTTTTGTGGTGTCAGTGAGCTGTGGTTATATGTTTGACATTAGATTTTTGCTTAGCTAATACAATATATTTATTATTGCAAAAAATTATGATTGTCATGAGTTTGATTTTAAAGAACTGCACATTGTAAAGATTTCACCAATTAGTATTTTCAGTTAAACCATACCAAAAATTTTAGATCATGTTTTTTCTTATTAACTAATTTTTTTGTGTGTAGACCATTAACAAAATTTCTTTTTGTATTAGATGATGACATGCTTTTAACCAATGAAGGAAACACAGTAGAACAGCCTTATCAGTCATTCAACTCGATGCTCTCTGCTCCCATGGGTAACAATAATATATCTGGGTTGATGCCACAGCCTGATCTTTCTCAGTGGAATGTCATGAATGCATTTAATATGATGGGCTTGGTTCCAGATTCCAACATGTTGAATATGATGGGAATGTGTGGCTTTGGTCAGGTGTGTAACTAATTATTACTACATGTATATACTGTTTAATGATGGATTATTGTATCAGAAATTTATTGAAATAGTTTATCTTCATAGGTACTTATATGCCCTACAAATTAAAAATATAGAATGTTAAGAGTTTTGAGTAGAAATCATAGTTCTGTAAGTAAATGTTAGGTAAAATATGTAGTACTGAAATTTCTTTTTAATGTTTCAAGTTGTATACAGTTTATTAGATATACATTTACAATGCCATGGTATAACTAAATGTCAATTTTTGATACTTTGTGTGTCTGTATGATACAGAATTATTTTGGATTAACTGTTGCTGGATGGTTACTGGCATTTTTAAGTTAGCCAACAAATTCAGTTCTTAAGGTCAATTGTTTTAACTGTGTATAATGCTAATTAATTGAATTTGTAATGTTAATAGCATTTTTCTTAAGTATTTTTCATAATATCATTATCAACTTTTTCTGCATCTTCATTTAAAGGCATATTATGTGAAATACTAGGTGTATACAACACAAACAGAAACTACATTAAAGTAACTTCATAGGAGAATCATTAACTATAAAATGTTAATTAGACTGGCAAAAAACTTACCAAATTGTGGGTTACTCTCTTGTTAATTTCATATTTTTCATATACTTACCAGTTTAATAATAAAAATAAATTATTATAGAGGTGAATCAAAAAATTGTAAAACAGTGATTTACAGGTTGCTTAATGTATTGTGATATTATGACAGTGAATAAATGATTTATCATATTTAGTAAAAACATTAATGAGGATGATGAGGTGCGATTAACCATTATAAACTGTTTAGCACAACGACGTACAGTTAGACTGTAGTCATGTGGAATTTCTGAAAGCCGATACAAAACTTTTATTGAATAAAGTGTACTGCTTATTACTTTGTCGTAATTTCAAATTAATCCTATCACAACAGGCTTGTGTATTTTACATGACCTTGTAACCATGGTGGTATACATATTATGACTCTGAAAGTACTTAATGTGTCTTCACACAATTTGGCAAGTTTTCAGTAAACTTTAAAAGTCTTTTAGGCAAAAAATCAGAATTTTTAAATAAGTATTTGTAGTAAAACTTTGCCTGTAATTATATGGTGATACAGTGTTGACTGCTTCGAGTACAAAACAAATTTCATATTAAGATTTAAAATACCTTTCTTCATCTGAAAATTTTAAAACTTTGTTTGTATAATCACAAAAACCTCCTCAATAAATATCAAATGTTTTTTTTTGTTTTTTCATAAAAACTATATTTTATCTGTTATTTTCTATATTATAACTATACAGGATTGGTCAATTTGACTGACTTTGTAATCACCATAAAAAAATTAGGAAATAGTTTTAAATTACCTATTTTTCTTTCTGGAATGACTGCAAATTCTAACAAGAAACACAATTATTTATCCTAAGTAGCTTAAAGCTTGTAACAGTATACATCTATTTATACTTAATTTTATTGTTTTATTGCCTTTTGAATGGTGTCTAACTAATAGCTCTGCCACACAAGCTGTGAATCTCACAGTGAGCATGTAGCTTACGTTACCCTATCAAATTATGTAATGCATGGGCTACTCTCAAGCATACCTCATGAAAAATGTTTATTATTATTATTTTTCTTTATTTTACATAATCTAACCTTATAAGTTTCTAATTTTTACATTCTAGTTACTTTTATCATAACAAATTAAGAATACACATGTAAAACGAGAAATATAGTACATACCTGGATCTTCTTTATTTTTTGCTGATGACTGTCAATAAAACTTAACCCTACTTTTTTATAAATAATGCAATAAATAATTCTTTATTTAATTAAATAATGCACCTAAGAATACAGAGTAATAGCACATGAAAACCAGGTAAGTTACATAACAATCATAATTTTTCTGGCTTTCTAACTATGCGATAAGAACCATTAAACATTCAGCTAAGATTGTTAATGTGTTTCCTATATAAATAAAGTTTTAACTGGAAGTGAGGTAGATTCTTCTTGTGCAGAAAACAATGTAATATAATACATCATTTGATAGATTAAAACTTTGGCTTTCAGTTGGTTATAAATAATATAGTATTAAATGTGAGAGAAAACTATTACAATTTGTGAAAGAGAGAATTTGACAGATGTGTGTGGCAGGAGTAGTCTGGTTTTCTAGTCTATGGCTCTGATTGATAGCAAGATTGAAGGCTATAAAAATTATGCTTTGGTGAGTAATTGCTATATTATAATTAGTAATTTACCTTAAATTCATTTCATCGTGGGGGGGTAAATAAATTAGTGAAGAAGGAAGACACAGAGAGCAAATGTTACAGTTCTCATACTAGTGGGAGATTGAAAATTTTTTTACAATTATTTCCTTATAAAATTAAAACTTAATGTTAAAATTTGATATATTAACTATCTTTTGATGCCAAGTTTAATCATATAAATTGATAATAAAGTGGTTTAATTAAATTTTAAATGCAACTCTGTAAAAGGTTGTGACATATTCACTTCTACCTACACAATGCAAAAGGGTTAAGTTACTAATAATGTGGAGTAACATCATTCATATTTCATTACTTTTAGAATTTACTAGCCTTTCCACTTTTCCCCCAATCATTCTCATGATTTTGGAAGACATTTGACAGTACTGAATCAACCCTTAGGGAAGTTTGATTAACATTTCTTTGCTATAATTTGGTTAACACTTTATGATGAAGATGTAGATAAATTTAGCCCTTATTACAAGACTAAAAACCAAAATATTGGAGGGGGCTGACATTTTCATTTTTGGAAGAAGTTGTAGTGTTGAAAGAGAGGCAAAATTAAGCCAATTCTTTGATTAACTAGATATAATACCTTTTATTTCCCCCAAGTTTATTATTTTCTAAGTATGGTTGTTAGATCTATTAAAGTACTATCAAGAGACATGTGGACAAATCACTAATTTTTTTTTTACTATCCATGTCTAGTATTGATGGTATAGATATAAAATGTTGCTATGCACATCTAGATCTAAGTAACAGTTTACTTTTAGTTTGGCTTTATGGGAACACCAGATATGAATATGATGAATTCTGGCATGATGGTTCCAGGAGCTCCTATAAAAGAAATCATACGTCATAAGAGTTGCGTTTTATACCCACCAAAAGCAAGTAAGTGTAATTTCTTTTTTCCTAAGACCCATAGAACTTTTTTTTCATTACTTATGTGATTATTCACTTCTCCCTCTTTTTCTTCATTATTGCTTTTCGTGATATATTTGTACAATGGCCAGTGTCTAAGCTCAATTTTCAAGTTTTGTAGCAGTTTGGCTAATCTAGCCATACAATTGTAAAATTTGGGATTAGACTTGAAAATTGTATAACCAAGTCATATAGTAGACTATGAAATTGTGACTATTGTATGAAACAAAAGTAAATTAACATAACTTGTTCTATATCCAAAATTTATGTATTTTTTTCTTTAAACATTATTGTTATACTAATACAAAAACTGATACTGTCACACAACACTTTGAATTTATATGCTTTCATTAACACTCTAGCTCACTGTAAAAAAAAGTAAAAAATTATGAATACTTTGGTGTGATGCCACATATAATAGTGTATTAATGTAATTAATTGTTACATAGTATTTTATTTATATTATAAAAATACTAAAAGTAACCATTATTTAGTTTATCATGCCTAATTCTATCCTTGTTACAGTAATGCACATGCATGTAACATTAACAAGACTATAAAAGTTCAATCCTTTAAAGGAATAACATAGGCTTACAAAAATTCTAATGAACCATGTTATGTTCACTTACTTTGGGTAGATCTGTATTTCTTTTTTATGTACTGACACTTGCAACATAAAGCCATCTATCATTTTTTTTCATCCTCCTGTCTGTTGGATGTGAGAATGGAATGTGCCATTCACAACAGCATGGAAGAATATGATGTCATACATTACTTTTCTTGATGAATACAATTGCAGCTGGTTCCCTCTATGCAGTTGAATCACAATTTTCATTTCACAATTTGGCACAACAGTGTTAAGACCTAGTGCTTTATTTCAGACATTTCATGTCATTTGATCCCTCCCCTTCCTTATTAATTGCAGAACAAGATTCCAAGTTTTTAATTTTCCCACTTTGCCTGTTATGTGGGTCCGTGCCGATCATTTTGCAGATCAGTTTACTTGTGGGTTTAGTATGCCGTACCCCCCACATACAGTTTATGCACTTGCTTATCGTCATTCAGCAAATCTTGATGGACAACAATTGGAATCACTTCTTCCCCTTTGGGGTTCAGACCTCAGTACTTCAGTACATTCTTCTCAAGCATAATCTCCTCACCTCCATTTCTCCCTCACAACACACCTTCATATTTGTCATCCATTTACCTGTTGTCTGAGGCTTTTTGTTGTTTTCCTGAGGATTTTTCAGCAGAAGCCCATACTCTCCTACTCACTAACTTGTCCAGATTATCTTTGTCTGTCCTTTCCCTCCACACTTAGCTCCTGTGTTGCTGGAATCTCTTGGGTCAGGATGCTTTGTTGACACATGTGCATCTCCCTCCTGACTTTCTTTTAAGATCTTTGTTCAGCCTCTTTTCTGAGATCTACAATCTTTGGTGGGCTTCCAGACATCTTGAAGTCTCATGTTGAGTCTGCTAGATTGCACACTTCTCAATCTTTCCTTACTTCCCATTGCCTCAACCTCCTACTTCCTCTCCTTTAGATGTTCCTCCTTTCCGAACCATGTCTACATGTCATACCATTGTTCACCGATGTCCTATAGGATGTCAGCATTACTGGTGACTGTCTTATGGATTTGGGTCCTGAGGGAGCCAGGCTTGCTCATTTCTCAGAAGTGTGGGAGACTTTTAGCACCAACCTTTGGGTCATTACGTTTTTTCAGAAGGACTCTCCCTCCTTTTCCTCACACCTCCCACCTTATCCCTTGTCCCAGTTCCTTTTCCCCCTTAAGATCCCATTTCCTGCCAGTTTCTCACAGAAGCAGTTCAAGTCCTTCTCATCAAGGGTACCATCAGACAGGTTTCTCCAGTACTTCCAAGGTTCTTTTCTTGACTTTTTTGTCTTCCCCAAAAGACCATTGATTGGTGTCCTGTGATCGATCTCTCCTGTCTAAATCACTTCCTCAATATACCTTGATTCACCATGGAATCCTAACTGTCTCTTAGATGGGCCTTTCTTCCGGGGCCATGGATGATGAGATTTGATGTGTCCGACACTTATTTTCACATCCTTATTGCTCAGGCTTCATGTCGTTTTCTATGTTTCATCCACAAGGAACACATATATCAATTCTGAGCTCTTCCTTTCGGGATGGCATCAGCATTCTACTCTTTCAGTCTCACAGGCTCAATTTCCATCATTTTATAGATGACTGGCTACTTCTGGCTCCATCCTTTGCAGAGTCTTCCTTACTCAACCAACTTCTCCTCAGAGAAGCTGATTGGGTTGGTTGGTTTATCATGGTGGAGAAGTCCATTATCCATCCCACTCAATATCTTGTTCATCTTGGGGTGTTTTTCAACTCGCATTTCATTCGAGCCCAGCCTTCTCCTCTTTGTCTGCAGTTCAGGGAGTTTTTAGTTCTGAGGGCACTGTCAGCACCTTCTCTCTCTGTGCGAGAGGCTCTGTCTTGGGCATCACTGGAGACTCTTCTTCTGTGCCATATCCATGTACATTCCTTGCAGTGGGTACTACAAGTTCATTGGCACCTCATCAGGGACCCTCTGGATTTACAGATATCCCTTCCTGCTTCCCTTTAGTCTGACTTCCTCTGGTGGTTAAATAGGGACAACATGACAGTGGGGGTACCTATTCCTTCTACCCATCTGAATGACCATTTCGTCACAGATACTTCATTATCAGGATAGGATGCGTGCTGCATTACACAGGAGATCTATCTTGGGCCATTGGTCTCAGGAGAAGTTAGGTCTTCATGTCAACGTTTTGATACTCCTTGCTGTTTGTTGGGTGATGGTTCATTTTCTCTCATTTTTGCAGGGCATGACAGTTATGATTCACTCCATTAACTCAATGGTTGTCTCTTACATCACCAGTCAAGGGGCATTTGATCCCAGCCCTTATGTTCCTGCACTCTAGATCTCTTCTGGGCTCACAACCATCAAATTTGTTTCCTGGATTGTCACACACCAGGTGCCCTCAATCTTGTTGCAGATTGTCTATCCTGCCCCAACAAGATTCTACTCACGGAGTGTTCTTTCGACACCCAGGTATTCTGATGGCTATGCTCTCATTTGAATGTCAAGCTTCCTCCTCAGTTCCACATCTTTTGGCTTTGGCCATGGTGCATTCAGCCAGGATTGGAAAGACTTTTCCTTTATGCATACCCTAGCATCCATCTTCTACCCCGAGTAATTTCTATCATCCAATCCAATCCTTTCTGGCCAGCTCAGCTTTGGTTTCTGTCTTTGTCCCTTCTCCAAGAAGAACCTGTATTACCTCTCCTTCTCTCTCCCAGTCCCTCCCCCGGGAACTTCGCTTATTGATGCTTCATCCCTACTTTCCCATGCTCCGGCTTCACATGTAACTTTTGTCCAGTCCCTTGAGTGGGGTTCAGGACAATCCACGCAAGTAGCATTACTACTGTCACACACTCTCCTTTCCTCACCCATTTCTGTGTATCAACGTAAGTGGAGAATATTTTGTCATTAGTCTATCCTTCATGGATTCTCCTCTTCCTCTCCTTCCCTTCCTCAGATATCTCTTTTTTGCATGGTTGTTTGACAAGGTCCTATCCTTTTCAGCCATTGCAAGCTATAGGGCAACTGTGTCAGCTCCCTTTTGTTTTTCCTGTTTTGCCATATGTTTTCCTATCCAGTTATTCCTTTCCTTCTGTATCCCATATTTATTCCCACTCTGATCCGGATCATCTTCTGTGTCTTGTCCATGCTTTATATATCATGCACAGCATCCTTCCGTGGCTCTCACTCCTGTTTATCAGTTGATATCTGTCCATTTCTTGTGATATTTCTCTTATCAGTTGGATTCTTCAGGTTATCTATATTGTATATTCCTCTCTTTCTCCTGAATCTTGCCAATTGTTCTATGTATCTTCCCATCTGATTGGTTTTGGACTGGAATTGATCCTCCATATTGCATTTACACCTTTCTTACATCATCTTGATATACATTCCCGGGGTTTATTATTCCAGTTTGTGTTGGATTTGCATATATGTTGGTTTAGTTTCTTGGAATGGAGGTTTCTCTTCTCTTCTGGTTCCTACATTTAGGTGAATGGTTCAGAACCCTCCTCCAGCTAGGGGCCAGTTGAGTTCCTTCTGATGCCACTGGTCTGGACTGGAGTTGACCTTCTGATTACGGTCCAATGTGCCCTGGCCACTCTACATACGTTCCTTTTCCTTTTGGATTTGGAATGGATCACTTGTTCTACCCTTTGATTGTGACACAACACCAGTTGGCTCCACTTGAGCAAAGAGTATATCTGGTTCAGATATGTTAAGGTCTCCCATGGGTGTGTTTCCTCTACATAGAAGTGGCACAATCTATGGGTGCTCTTCAGATGCTTTTGAAGGGTGCTCATCTAGGTAATTTTACACTGGTCTCTCCACCTGCTCAATGTGGGATTATAGCTGTAACTGTATGTGGAGGTAAGTAATGATATTGGAAGTTAATATTTTCCTACACTGAAAGTATATTTCTGATAGATACTTACCTCTCTCACCTTTCCCACCCATTCTTCCCACTTCCGGTGTTGTTTTTCATGCTTAATCTCACAGTGAAGATGGGGTAAACTGCATAGAGGGAGTCAGCTGTTGCACTCCAATTGGTGGAGGGTTGTCGCATGCTAACTTGCATGCTTAAATGCAGCTGAACCATGTAAAATGTGGTAGGAGTTCAAGGATAGTGGCAAGTGAAAATTTGCACACTAGAGGGCAGTCAAAATGATATTAGCTGTAACTGTGAGAGGAGGTATCTATCAAAAATATTAATGTTTGTTAAAGAAAAACTACACATTAATGTATGGAATAACTGTCATTACTTTATATTAAGTTAATTAATGATGAATTATAATTTTGACAAGAAAAGGGTGTACATAATTGATTTTGTTCTTTAAAGAGAAATTCTTATTTACTTTGTAATTCCTTGTAAAATATACATTTTCTTTGGTAGTTTTAAAACATTCCAGTTCTTAAATTTGTCTTGAGTGAGTATTATGAATATTTTCAATTGCTAGTGTAACTTATGAAGATGATTTGATAAACCATAAAAATTTAGTTAACTTGGAGATATATATTTGATGACACATTTTATCTATAAGTAAGATTGTAATGATGAAGAGTGAATTTAAACAATAAAAACTGACATATATATACAGTAATGAAACCACTAAGTATTAAAAGATAAATTGTAAAAGATATTCTTTACAGGTATCAACAAATGGATTTTGTTTTGTTAATATGCAGGGTATAATGTTTTATAGTATCTTGAGTGAAATAGTATACTTTTGGTTTTATTTCATTTTAGAAAAATTTTTCCTTCTTTCACAAAAACAATTATATTTTTTTTTCCAGATGCCCCTCCCCCTTCAACACGAGAAAGACCACCTGGCTGTAGAACTGTTTTTGTTGGAGGTTTACCAGAAAATGCTACAGAGGAAGTTATAAGGGAAGTTTTTGAGCCTTGTGGGCCAATATCAAAGATTCGTATGAGCAAGAAGAATTTTTGCCACATTCGATTTGAAAATGAAGTTTTTGTAGATGCTGCAATATTTCTGTCAGGTATGATGCATTGATAATAGCTGATTCAATACTTTAGTATCACATTGAGTGTGTTAGTAATTTATAGTAGTAAAGAATCAAAGATTTTTCTGTTACTGTATAATATTCCATAACAACCATCTTTCCTCAGAAATAATTTTTCATGCAGAATAAAAGAATGTATATTCTAGTGGATAACATTGAATATTAATTTGTCTAAATTTATAAATTTTTCAGTCAGAAATACTAGGCATTACAAGGTTGTGTTGATTATCCAACTTACAGAAGAAACACACTATTCAACTTTTGGTTTTAAATCACATCATATTAAAATCAAATAGAAAAATGGGCTATTAGGTAATAATATAAGAAATAGTTTTTCTTTCAAAAGTAATATTGGAATCAACCAATTTCAGTAGTGCCCTTAGATTTGTTTTTTTCAGAGAAACAAAATCTTTGATCATTTAGTTACTCAGCTTGAAATATTTCCGCGAAAATAGTTAAGTATTGGATCAAATGTTTGATAAAGGTTTCTCATATTTGTAGAGGAATGAGTAGTTATAAGCAGAAACATATTAATTTCAGTATAATGTTTAGGCTAGATATAGATAAGTGATACATGTTAAGTTCTGACAAAAAATTTAGCACTTACCCTGGCGCCCTGGGTATCCTTTACTGCACATGACACAAAGTTTTAGTGTCTTACATTCAAAATTTTATTAAACTACTCTTTAT